GTTACAGGTTTGAATTCAGTTGACTGTCTTGGGTTAATATCCTAGTTCAGAGGTCACCAACAACGGTCTGCATGCTGATGTGTCATTGGATTAAACGTAAATAAAAACCTTGTTAGATTGTGTATTACCTACACAACCACTGTATATCTACAAACCTAAAACCCACTCACTGTTGTCAGCAGAATGTTGTTATCAGTGAGCTTGACTTATATGTGATCTTTCTACTCATTAAAGTTATAAGGCCCACCAGGTCATACTGGGGTCATCCAGGGAAATTGGAGATTTACATTAAGGCTAATTCTATTTGAGGGTGTACTGTATGTGAACAGTAATAGTGGTATTAAAGTATAAAGACAAAACAGGAAACAGTTAGACTTGGGTACCAGGAGATAATAACATAACAATGTACGACATTTTTTCTAAATGTTGCGGTCCGTCTTTGGTGATTCAAATTATGGTCTGGGGTTCAGAGGATGTCTGGCTTTGAAACAAGTTTTCAACAAGCTTTTCTTGTCTTCTTCTGATGCGAACTTGGTTTTGGATATTTGTGTAATAAACCACTACTGTTTCTGTATGAAGTGGACCTAGGCACACCCGAAACCAAACCAAACCAAAACACATTTTCAAATCCATCACAACCGGACCAGAGTCCCAGCTGTCAATCACACACAGCGTCCATCATTGTCTACCTGTTATTGTCCACACCGTTGTCTTTTTTTTTTTTTTCATGTGGAAAAAATATTTTTCAGATCACACGTTGACCCAGTTGACACGTGTTTGTTGTCTGAAATCACCGCTCCATTTTGGACAGTTGACGTCAATCTTCTGTGAACGCTAGCAGAGCTTCCATCTATTATAGAAGAAGAAATCTCTGTGTTCTCCTGGACTACAGTCCCTCATATTCACAAGGTCCAGGAAGGTTAATGTCCCTGTGGTTTTTGCACATGCAAATCAGACAGGCTCTGAACTCTTCAAATCAGCTTCATGGAGTGTTTCTCCTCTGTGTAGCGGCGCTCTTTAATAGTGAGTAATGAGACGGCGTTTGGCCACTGTGTATTTACTTTAGCCTCCGTTACAGCTGCGCTCCTGCTTTTGTTGACGGCTCTGCTTTTCGTCACATCCCAGAGCACGAGTCAATGTTAGTGGTGAGTTTAGACTCGGCTTTAAAAACCACTCCATACTGAGAACTGATGCTCTAAAGCCTTAAAGGATACATCACTGTGTAAATAATGTTCATTTACAGTCAATGTTCTCATCAACTTGTTTTTTTTTTTTTTTTTTTGTTACTAATTTTAATTAAAAAATGAAGAGTGTTCTTCACTGCTGGTTAAGCCACAGATGCTCTCTATTATTTCTAGTTTTGTAAAACTTATCTTTAATACATGACTTTTAGAACCTGAAAATACATTTCAGCTGTGGAGAAACATGTTTTTTGGGGGTACTGTGTTGTCGTTTCTGTTTTTCGGAGCTCAATAAATTCTTAGTTGTTTAGCTTTGTTTCTCCCTTTTTTGGCCGTTGACTGCGATCTGAAAATTCAGTGATGTGAGTCTGCTGTCGACTACTGCTTTCTTACACAGACGAGGCGGTTGTGTAAATTCTCTCCATCATTCCTCTGTAATAGGAAGTGTCAGACACAACCTCCATGACACAGTGCTTTGAACACTCCTCTCTTATCCCTGCAGAATTAAAATAGACCTGAGGAAAAAAAAAAAAAGAAGCCTTTTCTTTTTCCATGACCACCTCTGCCGCTGGTGCAAATGAAAATGCCCTTCCCAAAATAGATCATTTTTGCCCTTCAGATGTCCACTTTTATTTTAGGCCTGGTGACACCATGCCATCCATCACGGCCAGCTTTTCAGATGTAAGCAGACCCCCGGGGAAACAGTGCTACAATGCACAGAGAAAGTGTGATGGTGGTGCTGCTGCTGCGTCGTTAGGAGCTTTATGGTTAGATTACCGCTAATTTCACCTCAGAGTAGCATTTAGACATTCTCTTTGTGTGAGTTAAGTGGAAGCCGTTCCTCCTTTTTAGGATAAACATTGGGAATGGATGCCCTGCCTTTCCAACTTTTCCCTCAAATTACCACTTGACACGGCCAAGCGTCGCTCCGCACTATTGTCTGCCAGGAAAATGCATTTCTGAATGCTTTATTGAATGTTTTGGCTGGATGGCAATTGTGTGAAGTGTACACATGGCTTTGATCATCTTGACCTGGAAATTTGATAGTCGCCCCACTTCACGAGGCTCTCTGACACCTGGGAAACTGGAGCCGGTATCCTTGATACATGAGCCGCAGCACAGCACTAAAGACTTAACTTCTCCTGTTTCCTGGTTGACAGGGAGGACTGATGGGAAGAGGAATTTCTCATGGTTCAAAAGGAAGGTTTTTGGGTTGTTGTTGTTTTTTTTTTTTAGTTTCCCCTCCAAGCCACAGGAATCACAATATTTGGAATGTGAAGGAGAAACGATCTTTATTAAATCTGCCAACAACATTTCTTTGATTATTGATGTCGGATTGCTTTTTCTTCTTCACATCATTACATCTGTGTTGTTGTCTTGTCATGTCCTGCCCCATCATTCTGCCCCAGTGTGATGGTTTGCACCGGCCACATGTACAATATCGTCCTCAGGTCTCCATGTTTGTGCCGTCTCCGCTGCTTCATCTGTGTTCTGACAAAAATCACCATCACTTCCTTGTATTTTTCATGGTATTACTTCTTGGACCCGGGGTTTGCCTCACCCTCCTCTCCCTCTGTGTACTCATCCTTTTCCACTGCGTAGCGTTTGAACTCACTCACAGCCTGGACATTTTGTGGTTTGTGCTGTTCACTTCCATAAATCATCACATCAAACCAAAGAGACCAAAATAATACTGTAGCGTTACAGGATGGTGTGCAGTCGTTTTGTGCATCGAAGTTAAGGGCTCTATCTTGTTTCACCTCTTTCCTAACCGACATAGCCGTGTCCCTCCACCTTGTTCAATCGCCTGTGGGCGTAGTGTGTCCTGATTCTGGTTGAGGCATAAGGCAGGGGTGAAGTAAAGGACTGACTGGCTCTGCAACTGCAAGTTTTCAGGGACACACTCTGAACTAAGTGTTGATTATTGCAGGGAAAAACAGAATCCAAGTAGATTGACGTGATGTCAGTAAGCACATGTTTGTTAGCATCCTGTGTAGTTGCAGTAACACCAACACACACAAAAAAAGAGGGACGACATTGTTTACATTCGCCGGCTGAACGCCATCCGTTGGATTGTGCTACATTCTCTCTTTGTTGGTTTTTTTTTTGCCCTTCATTATGGCTCCCAGGTGTAAACAAGTGTCTGCCATTATTATTACCTTTGTATGACAGCTCAGGAGGTCGTTTTTAGTAAATATAATTAATCTGTTTCAAAACATCGGTGACATTTAGCAAATAGATGGAGTCAGGAAACAAATCAACAAGTGATTAAATTCATTTTCTTTTTAAAGATGATGATTTTTTTTTTCCAATGCAGCACAGTTATTATTACACATCAACATTGCTTTTAATGATCTTGTCTTGGCTCCGTCACGTTACTGCCCAGTTCAACGTTTCCGTGATCTGTCCGACTTCATTGTAAAGGTAAAATGTTGTAGTCTGACATTAGTGTCTGACTCATATAGAAATCATTCCATACCAGCGCTTTGTTCATGGTAACCGGTGATGACACTCCCACTGGTGGTTCCACTGCAGTTAGTAGTAAATTACACAGAGGCAGAGTGTGATTAGAGAAGCTGTGGCATTACGTCTAAAGTTCAAACCCCCTCTGGATATGGGACGGAGCCGCTGGCCTTTGATCGGCCTTAACGTTACTGTAACGATGGCAGTTTATTTTCAACGACCAAAAAAGGCCACTTGTGTCAGGAAAACAATCTCCCATTCTCCTGACGTGTTGGCAAGCTGCAAAAGAAAAATGTCAGTGTCTGTGATGGGCCATTAGCCCACAGTGAGTTCTTTCTGTGCTTTCGGACCTGGTGAAAACAACTTTTAATTCCTCAACAGATGGTACGGTGACACAGCAAGTTCAGGCCCCGACCTCGCCCGGGTTCTAATTTAAAGGTGTTTTCCCAGGAAAACAAAAAACACAGGTACGATAACACGGCACTGCAGAAGAACACTGTTTGAGAGAGAGAGAGAGAGAGAGAGAGAGAGAGGACATCAAGAACATAGACCGAGCCGTCTCCCTGCGCGGCTCCATTGTGATGTCGTGTACATTTGACTGATGACACAGTCACCTTCTCTTGGCGGTTATTACAGCCTTTTCTTTTTCGCGGGGGTCGCCCCTACTGTTGCTGCAAAATGTCAACCTGTTTTAATGAGAACTGCACTGTAGCCTACAATGGGAGCTTTTCATCCAGATTAAATGTATCACCGTGCCGGTTGGCCCACCTTTCGGTGCCCCCCCGCCCCCTCTCCCACTTTGCCCCTATTGTGACACAGTGGTTTTACAGAGCAGCTTGTTGCTGAAAAACAAGGTTCAGTATCAAAGGAGGAGTGTTTTGTGTGGTGAGCAGGAGAGTCTCGCGTCAGGTTTCCACCTGAAACACAAAGGTGTTTTCTTACCTGATTTGTATGCATTCGCACAATGAGCGGACCTGCCTCTCTTGTTTCCAAGTAAGGAGAGTCCAGACGAGACTTTTGTTCGCCCCACCATCGGATACGTGCACATTGCTTCCTCCAGTACAAACCTTGGTGGCCAGCCACAGGCTTTGTCCTGGATGTATGTTTTCCTGCCTCTGCTTTTCCTCTTTGTCGCTCTGTGTACAGTATGTTTTTTTTTTTTTAAAGAAACTTTTACAATTAATAATTAAACATGACTGTTTGTTTTGTGTTTCTTTTTTACTGCTGTGTTATATCTGTAATACCAAGTCATCCTAAAGTTGCCATGTCAGGCTCCAGAGCCCACAGATGAGAAGATTAGAGTGTAAAACACCTCAAATGATAGGTGTTTATAATATATTTTTTATTTTTTTTCAGGGTTTCTTCTTGACTGTGTCCCCAGAGTCCATCCTCAAAGTGGCCAAGCACGCTTCAGATAACAACAAAATCTTCTGCCTGAACCTCTCAGCACCGTTCATCAGCCAGTTCTTCAAGGAGCCCCTGATGAAGGTCATGCCCTATGTCGACATCTTGTTTGGCAATGAGACGGTAAGAGACCTGGGTCACGAGGACATGAACTTGTCCTTTAAATATACATATTGGAGGCTTTGAAGACAGCTCCCATGTAGGGGATCCTAATTACAAAAAAAAGGTTTTTAAATTTGAAAAAGTGTGACATAATATATGACGTTATTGTTTATTTTGTCAAGAAATATTATTCACAAATGGGTGGAAATTAGCCAATAATGCAGCAGAAACAGCTAAAAACTAAGTGAAAGTATAAAATAATCTAAAATCATCCAGAATACGTAGGACAGTTTTCAAAAAACTGTTACCACTGAAGCAAAAAAAAAAAAAACAAACTCCAAGAGTTTAATTATTAAAATAAATCGATATACGATTACATTTGTTAAATGAATTTCCCTGGGGGACGGACTTTTTCTTCTGGTTTATGTGCAGGTCTTATTATGTGCTTTTACCAATGCGCAAGTTTTAAATGTGTCTTACGTTGTAGACAAAAAACACAAAACAAAACAAAGTTGTATTTTTTTCATCAGTAGACCCGTAGTATTGACATGATGACAGCTACTGACTGGATTGTTGTGATTCATGGTGCCTTCAGGTTCAACAGCACCTGGGGGTATTCTATTGACCCTTATGTATTACATAACACCTGGCCTATAAGTCGTCCAACAGTTAGATTTATGACCAAGGATACAGTAAGTTGTTTATTGAAACTGCAGATGAGGTCAACATTAGCGTGTACTATCACGTACTACTTTTTAAGTATCGCAGTGTAAAACTTTGGCAAGTGGCGGCCAAACTGACCTAAACTGAGGAAGTGTTACCGTTAAGTTTCTGATGTTTGAAACTGAATCAAATACTAGGTCAAACAAAGTGGAGTTGTGGCGGTGTTGTGATGGTGTTTAGGGATAGAGCTTTAAATAACGTTTCACAGTTGAAGGCATTGTGCTTTCACCTTGAAACCCCATTTTCCTCTTCCTTCCTGTCTGTTTCCTATTATTATTTAGTGTGGATTTCCTCCTATTTTTCACATTTGTGTCGATGAAATCTGATAAACTGAAAGAACCGCCGAGTTAGAAAAATATTTAAGATGGCCCTGGAACTCCCGATGGCCTCTCTGAGAAATGGAGTAAGTGGTGAAAAGATTTATAAACAGATTGTTGGCCGTATCTGGTGTTTATTTTACACAGTGATTTTGTTTTGTGGATAATGGTCGGACCACAGCTCCAGCCAGTAGTCCAGTTAAAGGCCAGTTAGACTGGTACTGGATGTGTTCAAACAAAGACTTAATAACTGCAATACTTCTCCAGGGTTATTTTGGTTCTTCTCTGACTGAACCTGACTGTAGCAGACTCAGTGTTTGTTCCAGGGAGTAAGGCTCTCTCAGTGTGTACAACAGAAGTACCAGCATGTTGTGTGTGTGTGTGTGTGCCGTTAGCTCCATCTTTGTTATTTAAGTCGAGCACGAAGTGTAGAGATAAGTTCAGGTTGCGCTTTAGCAGTTAGTGAAAGGGGAGAAAGCAGGGCTAAGAGTCAAGCTAACGCAGCTTTGGACCACAGGAGGGGAGGAGACGGAGAACGGCCATCATCATCACCACTGGCAACGTACTAACACGGGCGCGACTGAGTCCTCGTTTTCCTGGAATCCCTACAAATAAATATATATATGTATAATAATATATCTACATACATTTATAAATCATTGTAGTACAGAGTGCTAGCTGGTCGTGTTTGAATAATGCTAATTGGTGCAGACACCACACCAGTCAACATTGTGTTGGTGTATAGTTTTTAGTGTAAATTCCTACATATTGTAACTTTAAAGCAAACCTAACCTCCTTGCTGTCCTGTAGCACTTATTGTTCCCGTTCCTCCTCAGCATCAATTTAACCGCCCACGTATCACTGAGACCCAACGGAGACGCATCAGAATCCGTCCAGTCATCATCCGTCTCACTCATGTCACCATTTCATGCCGGTTAATCTATTGATTTTCTTCATCTCCTTTGTATAAGTGAGTAGCTGATTGGAGGTCAGTGTGTGGTCACAGACGGCGGGGCTGCTGCTAAGTGCCCTCCAACGAGGGCAGCCTGGACAATCTGCGTCTGTGGGGCGGGGGGATGTCCAAAGTCACTGGACTCAGGCGGCCTCCCCGCTGCTAAAGCTACTAAACAGAGCCGTGTCTCTGAGTAGAGATGGGGTCCACAGACCAGGACAGAACTGGAATAAACTGCTCAGCATTTGAGGATTTATTGCTGCTGCTGACTTCAGCCTTTTCTTCTCTTTTCTTTCCTCACCAAACATAAAACCTCCCTTTTTCATATGCACCTCTCTCTCTCTCTCTCTCTCTCCCTCTCTCCCCCTCTGTCACTCTCTCTAATTGCTGTGAGGAACGATTCAGCCTCGTGAACCACGGCGTACATTTTGCAAGCCTTATGTGTTTCAGGGTGGGGAGTTGTGCAAGTGTTTGCCCGGGACATTTCCTCACACCTTGGGTCGTTACAGTGTTGATGTTGCTGGATAATTGAAAGGTGTGTTTGTTGAAGGAGATTTTCTTCAGGTGATTTTCAAAATAAGAGAATCCTGTGGAAACTGAGGAGCGCCTGGGCCCCTGGGCCCGTCTTAGCCCACTCGGTGTTAAAGGGTTGACACTGAACCCGGGCCTGTCCGGAGTGTTTTCAATCCTTTCGGCCTGTCTCCGTGTCAGGAGTGGGAGTCGGAAATGACTGCTCACACAGTCGAGCCCCAGACCTCCCATTGTGCACCAGTCAGACAAGGTTGGCGGTCATGCAGCGGGGCTTGATGAGTGACAGGCAACAGGGCTGGCTCGCCCACGCTCGGCCCAACTCTGCTCTCACCCCCCACCCCAACCTCCACCCCCTCCCCCAAAAGTGATGGATCAGCCTCAGCCTGTGATGCTTTCATAACAAGTCAGTGACAGTCAGGATCATGCAGGCTGACTCCTATAGCCCCACAGAATCTGCCATAAGGGGAGGCTAATGTGTCTGCCTGCCTCTCCCGTCCTCCCCCACCAGTACTGACACACACAAGGAGACATAGTTCAAGATGAAATTATTCTTTTCCCGTAAGATTTTTTCTTCCTCCCCTCAGAGGAACCACTTCTTTTTTTTTTTTAACACTGAGCCTTTGAACCCAGGGGCTTTATTTGAAATGGGTACATTATTATTTTCATTTTCTTGTAGAAACAAAAATTCTGTCCGAAAAATTATGGAATGGAAGGTGACTGAAACGTCTTTATAGCAAAATGCTATAACTCATCACTCAGTGTGGGGGATTGGTTTTCATTTCAACATCTCTTTCTCTTTTCAATCTTTGAATTTAAATGTTTTATCCCTGGAAATCTTCATCTCTGGAAATATTTGATTCTTGATCCAAAGATCAAGCTAAAGTCGCTCTTTTTTGTTCTCAGGGAATACTTCAGTAAACGTACACATAGTATAATATCCTGTACTTTGGGAAGAAAATATCGAAATTAAAAAAAACATTTTTAATTCTCTTACTTGATAATTTCCTCCTAGCCGTTGGCTAGCTATAGCGTAATTACTTTTCATTTTAAGTTAGTTGTACTTTCAGTTATTAAAGAGTCAGTCTGTGCTGTACCCTCATACTGCACCTGTCCGTGTTAGCCTAGCAGGGCTTGAGCATAATCTTCCGCACAATTGCTCGTGGCACACCCCTCACTTTGAGAACCACTAGTGCATTGACTGAATGTTATGAACTGAGAGCCACCACTCTGTTAACAGCAATCAGTTCAACTGACAATGATTCCACTCTGTTACAGCAACAAAACAAACTCCAAATGTTGCCATGTTCCCTCACTTTTTCCCTCCGTCTGCCATCGAACCGCGGCTCTGTTTCTGACTCAGTCTACTCGGGGTAATTCTGCTGTAACCTGATCCTGCTGTTACTTGTTTGAAACCTGGCATCAGCAGGCCCTGCCTGACCTATCAGCAGCTTAGCACTTATATAACAGTCTTCCATCCATCCATCCTATAATTACTGCCTCTTTTGGAAAATGGTGTAGTGTCTCTCTTAGTGGGCAGCAGCGAGGACGCCGGCGTTGTTCCCCACTTTGCCAGGGGTCTTTGGGACGGTGGCGGCGGAGCCGCGGTGACATCAGAGGCTACTTCACCTAATTGGCAAACATGTCGTGTGATGACCTGGGAACAGCAGCACGGCTCTAATTGAGTCCTCCTGCTCTGTCCTCCTTTGACTACCTGACATGAAACCCAGGGCATTACATTTCCCTTCATTTAAGGGCTGCAGTTAATTAGGTCTGAATGAGAGAATCATTACTGCTGGAAAAACCGCGTGCCAGTGGATTTGCCGATAAAATTAGCCACAATTTGCGTTTGCTATTTGAGCATGAAAGATAAACCACACAATGGGAGGGAAACGATTGGACCATTACTGGCAGATTTGTCTGGTGGAATTTTAGACATATCACAGACAAATGGAACGATTAATCAAGACTGAATTAATTGCCATGACTGATATTTTTTTCAAACGAGGATTTGTGGTACTTTTAGATCATTCCATGCGCCCGGCTCTTTTTTTAATTTGAGTAAATGATTTAAATGTGCGCTGCCTCGATAACATTAAAGCGCAGATGAGGATTTTTTTGCCCAACAACCTCCGTGCTCTTTTGCCATTAGCATTATATACCACCCCCATACAGGGGCTCCACATGCCTCCTATTGCTGCCCGATGTGTTCTGCAGCTCCACACTCAGAGGGAGCTTATTTATGTGGGTCCCGGCCCCGTCTTCCAAACGAGAGACATCCTTTGTAATTGAATACTCAATAGGTGAGCTATTTAACAAAAGTGGAAATGCCATTCCACTTTGTATTAATGTGCTGCGCCGAGGTAAGAGAAGCCATCATCACTCCAATGTTCAAGCTGTGTTACAAGAGCATTTAGCCTGCTGTCTCTACAGGCCACCACAGCCACATGACACGACAGAGATTTCCTCTATACTTTGTGTCAAAGTTTCTGTTTCTTAAT